GGGAAGAATGAAGGGTGGAAATCAGAGGGGGAGATGAACCATGAGAGATGATGGACTCTGAAAAACAAACTGAGGGTTCTAGAGGGGATGGGGTGGGAGGATGGGTTAGCCCGGTGATGGGTATTAAAGAAGGCATGTTCTGCATGGAGCACTGAGTGTTATGCACAAACAATGAATCATGGAACACTACATCAAAACCTAATGATGTAGTGTATGGTGATTAACATAACAATTAAACATTTAAAAAAAGAAATAAATATAAAGCATTTCTGAAGCCTATTTGAAAATTTTAATAACATATGTAGATTTGAAAATTTTAAAAACATCTTGGACAAACAAAATGATTAGATTAAATGGAGAGGGAACAAGTTCCTGAATTAGAAAACTCAATATGATAAAGATTGCTCTCCACATAGAGTCATAAGCAAATAAGACAATGTGATATAGGCAAATAACACCAGGGAACAGAATAGAAAGGCCAGAAGTAGACCCACAAATTTGTAGAAACATGATATAACAGAGGTAACTTTGCTGATAATGAAAGTAGGGACTATACAAAAAATTTTGTTGAATACTCTGTTTTCCATATAAAAAATAGATCTTAGCTCACACCGTAGAACAAAATTAATTCCAGTTGCATTGTAGACTTAAATATGAAGAACAGACATTTTAAAAGAACACTAGGAGAATGTCCGTGTAACTTCAGGATTGTGAGGGAATTCATAGGTTAGATGTGTACACTGTACAGGGAATAATTGATATATTTTACTACATTAAAATAAAAAATCTTTACAACAAAGTCCTCATAAAGCAAAGAGCCAACTCACATACTGGGAATAGGTAATCATTATAATCAACAAAGGATTGTTTCCAGAGTACAGGAAGAGCTCCTTAAAATCACTAAAGAAAAATGGGCAAAAGGAATAAATGGGGAGTTCATAGGACATGTAGTTTCTCATATGAACTGTTTCCTAGGTAATGATAAAATGATCAAAATGATCAAACCATCTTTGAGGGCCAAATATAGAAAAGCAGCCATCGATCTTTAGCTATATCACTGAGCTTCCGAGCCCATACAGTAAGTTCTTGATTGTATGCATAGCAACACCAGGTGTTTTAATATCAAATTGTGAAGGTATTTCAGTAGCTAATGTTATATCATGAAATTTCGTAGGACCAGTCCTTTCCGGAGCATGAAAATGGTTTTCAGGTTGGAATGAGATTAGAAGGCATTGACCCCCGACATCCATCTGTATTCTGTGTGCTTTCTGTAGCTGAGGTAAGAGATGGTGTTATTGTCTTGGGCTGAGTGCACAGTGACAGAAGAGAATTTTCTAGAGAATAATGAATTTGAGTGCTTTCCATTATAAACAAGTTTCAGTACATCATGGATTTATTTTAGTCAGTGATGGGTGAAATATGTTTCTTAATGAATTTTTTCCTTCTCTGAAGATTAATCTTGTAATAAGTCCCTCATCACTAGCAGTTACCCTTGATTCAGTTGGTAAATAGTTTTCATCTGAGGTTGATAACAATCAGTGAATCCCACAATGTTGCTTTTGTCTGTTAAAAGAGACATAATTATTCAAGGATTAGCTGAAGTAATGAGAAATGTATATGAAAAATATCCCGGCACATGAATTACCTATTTATATAAATATAAGCATTTTATGAAAATTACGTAGAATGAAGGGCCATTGATGAAAGTAAATGGCTTATAAAATGTAATATTTACTAAACATTTTACATTATTAAAATGATGGAAGACCTCTATATTTTTAATCACATCACGTAAAAGACCCTATTCACTTAATTTACTGATTGATTATAGCTATTAAACTTGTATAGCATGTCTTAAGGATGTATTCTACACTGTTTTATTATTTCCTTTATTGAGTATGCTGGATCCATACGTTAGAGTTGAAACGAAGCCATGCCCATTTTGGTTTTGCTCTGTACTTTAGCTTATACTATCGTGGAACAGCAGGAGACAGGGTTTCCAAGAGCAATATTTGACAGGTATTGAATGAACAAATAAACTCTTCAACTGATGGAGACGTAAATTGATCTCAGATTTGTAGACTGAGTAAATAAGGCTTAATTTTTTTACAGAAAAAGTTCTGGATACTTGAAAGATCGTGTCTGTTGGCATTTTATTTTATTCAGATGTCATCTCTAAATTTGCTTTTTAATACAAGCGCATTTAGATGGGAGGGTTGGTTTATATATGTTGATGGCACTGACAGGATATATGAATATTTTGTTAATTTTGTGTACCCTTCAAACTCATGACACTTAATGAAGGATTGTAAACATTCCATTTTACAGGTATGTGGTTACCGCCTCAGACTTCACTTTGATGGTTATTTAAGCTGCTATGATTTTTGGACCAATGCTGGTTCCCCTGACATTCATCCAGTAGGGTGGTGTGAGAAGACCAAACACGAATTGCACATCCCTAAGGGTAAGCCGGGATGGAAAGAGAGTTGGTTTTATTTTAACAACATTTCATGAAATACTAACAAGAGAGCCTGGTGTGAACTGATTTTCAAAATGAAAGTTTAATCCCCCAAAAGCAGTAAAACTACAAGGGTGCCATTTTTAGAAGTGAATAAATGTCTTTAAAAGAAAAGCATCGGGGTGCCTGGGTGGCTCAGTTGGTTAAGCGTCTGCCTTCGGCTCAGGTCATGATCCCGGGGTCCTGGGATGGAGTCCTGCGTGGGGCTCCCTGCTCAGGGGGGAGCCTGCTTCTCCCTCGCCCTCTCTTCCCTGCTCGTGCTTTTTCTTGCTCTCTCTGTCTCTCTCTCTCAAATAAATAAAACCTTAAAAAAAAAAAAGAAAAGCATCAATGACTGCTTAGGTCAAATATACTGATAAGGTACCTATGGCAGAAATAAAATCTTACGACTTAACATAAAGTTTATGAAACCTTAGAAGGAATGAAGAAACTTATTTTACATCACGGTTGAAATGAACTATTTCACTTAGTCACTGATGCTATATAGTGAGGAAAATTGATTCACTGTATATCGTTTGTTTTAAACAAATCATGGAAAAGAGGTAACGATGAAGGAGAAGAGGATTTCACTGCTTCCTTTTGAGGGGAATCAAAAATCTCATCTTTGTCTCTTGTTATGTGTGAGAGGAACCTGGGCCTGGCAGATGTGATTGAAGCCTTTTTTATTTGTTGTGTGCTGGTGAGGTGAGCATTTGATCAGTCAAGATGACCGTGGGCCCATTTCCTTGCACAGCCAACTTCTGTGTATGGGCTCCTACGTGGATGCTAGAGTATTTGATGATGGTGGCACTTCTGGGAGTCACTATATAGTCATTTTATTGACCAACTCAGAGTGTCCTTCGGGGATCCATCCCTGAGACCAATGGCAGAATCCTTTAGATTGCTGGATTTCATGAAAGCTGGTCACGGGCTCATTTTTAGTAGGTCTTTATGGGGCCCTTGCTGTGTGCAGGCACTGGGGATAGAGCCGTGAATAAAATAAACCATCTCTGTCTTCATGGGTCTTTCATTCCAGGGAGGCGAAGAGTCATAGACAAAGGTAAGCTAGGGTGTCAAGCAGTGACAGGGTTGGGGGTGGGGGACAGAGAGTGTGCTGAAGAAGGGCATGAGAATGTGAGGTCCCACGGATAGGTGGATGGGGTGAGGGAAGTCAGCGAGGCTGGGCAGAGGGCTGTCAGAGAGAAAAGCAAGAGTAAATGCCCTGGGGCTGGAGCCTCCAGCCAGGCCCATTGAGGAATCTCAAGGAGATGAATGTGGCTGGAGCAGAGAAGCAAGGGCAAGAGGGGGGAGATGAAGTTAGAGGTGTAGCCCTCGCCTTGGAGGCTGTGCAAGGAGGCTGACTTTTATTCTGTGTAACACTCAACCAGAAACTATTTATTGAGCCCTTCTTGTTTGGGCCAGCACTGTATGAGCACTTTAGGGCACACGGAGGCAAGGATCAGTACAGAAGGGGAAACCTGCAAAGATAAGTAGCAGGAAGCTGTTGCTGCCAAATGGTCTTTGGATTGTGAAGGGGTTTCTGTAATTTTCCCAAGTGCCTGGCACCCTGGATTGTTGCATCATCAGGACCTCTGATGTTCTCAGTGACATGGCTTCTTCAGGAGTGATGATGAGCTCAGGAATCTTTGTCTCTTCCCTTTGCCCATTTTGGAAAGCCTTACTAAGAGATGAGACTCCCATCAGGCCACCAGGGGACCAATTCTATATCTTAATGAATTTAAAAAATTTGTAAGGGAATGATACGCATGATGGGAAATCACATCAACAGTTTTGAATTTTATACGTTAAAAAACATTGAAATAATTTAGGGATTTTAATTTAAATCATTTGTGGTCTGCTAAAGAACATTGAATTTATGACAGAAGACTAAAGAAGGTTAATATATTGAATATGCACAGGGTTGTATCTGTGGGTATTTTGAATAATCCATACTTTTTTTAGGTTATAGAAAAGATAAATTTGTTTGGATGGATTATTTGAAGGCCTGCAAATTGCAAAATGCTCCCAAGAAATTATTCAGAAACAGAAGTTCTGTAAGTAGTTTCTTCCTCAGTATAAATCAAATTTCTACTTGAGCTTACATTTCTTAAAATTCACTATATATTCCGTTGTATTTTTTTCAGAATCCTTAGCTTCCTATGACTTTTCTCACTTAATTTGTCAGTTTCCAATAGGCGTGTCTTTCTCCCACTTTTAAATTGTGCAATTTAATACTTTATTTAGATGCAGAGAGTTGAAGACTTTATATTTAAATCCTGCTAAAATTTAAAATGCCTTTTGGAAATGTTTCTTCTTTTTGCTTCCAGTGAATTACTCTTTTGAACTTAGCTTTGGTGTTTTGAGACCAGTAGTAGATAACACAGGTAGGCTTTGAGTAAACCCAGCCTAGTTGGATTTACGTGTAATGAGAATGAGGGTGACATTTCCTACAGATTCAAGGGGCATATGAAGATTTGGGTAGAGCACACTTGTTTTGCCATCTGTGTCCCCAGCAACCTACCAGCTCTTCAGGAGAGAACGAGAATAAGGTGCAGCTCCTGCCTCGTCTGGACCCCTGGACACACACCAGAGAAGGGGGCAGGGAAGCCTAGCATTACCCTCCCACCTGCTGGCTCTGTGTCCCTTTGTAGGACAATCACCCTGATCTTGAAATCAATGTTATACAACTGCTCTGTGTGTTTCATAGAATTGTGCCAAGGAAAGAGAGTAATAGAAATGGGAAATCACTTTTAAAGATGTAATGTGCTAAAGAAAAACAAAAAGCAGGGTTCAGTATAGATAGTAAAGAGGTGGAAAAAGCTGTCTTCTAGTCCCCAGATACTGTATGTATACTTTCTAAATCCCAGGACTGGCTAATTACACTGGTACAAAAAGTGGGGTTTTGTTATCGTAATGTTACTTTAAATCATAGTCCTTATTGTTTTTTACCATGAAAAATGTGTATGGATACTAAAAAAAGCATTTGGATTTTTTTCAAGTATAGGTTTATTTATAGATTTGTGCATGTGTTTCTTAAATATTGAGAAAGCCACTGTTTTCAGATCTCATCAAAGTAAATGATAAATTTGGTGCTAAAGAGCCTATCTTTACTATTTCTCCAAATACTGGTATTTGGAAACTGTTCAAGTCTGTGAGGAGCAGAGAAAATTATTTGATACTCCTCTATCCAGTAAACATCATATTTTAAAATTAATACGATTCCTTCTAAGAACTGAAAAAGGAAAATGAAGATGATGAGGGAAATATAACTTACTTGCCAACAAAAGCGAAAAAGTACAAGGTAAAAGCTACTAGTTTCCTGGGTTTTGTTATGAATTTAACTTCGTAACAGTTTGTTGGAATATTTGTACTAGCATTTGTTGGCTTCATTCTGGAGGGTAAGTGTTGCCTGTAGACTGTTCTAATGCTAAACATAGAAGTTTTGACAGCAGCTCAGTCCTATTTGGTGTCCTGTTTCTTTTTGTGCCTCTTTCCTCTGGTGCTGTGTTAGAATGGGCCAATGCCTAAAGAATTTCAGGTTGGAATGAAGCTGGAGGCCGTCGACAGGAAGAACCCTTCCTTGGTGTGTGTGGCAACCGTAGCCGATATTGTTGAAGATCGCTTACTAGTGCATTTTGACAATTGGGATGATAGTTACGATTACTGGTGAGACACCAATATGCGTTTTATTTTTGTGTGTTCATGTTTGGTATTAAGAATTTATTTTCCTTCCGGTACTGTCACTGTCCTTGCTGTTCTTAGAGTAATGAACATCCGGAATTTAGTGGCCGACTTTTCATTACCTTGTGTTCCACATGAATTGCCAAATTAAAGTGCCCAAGAAACTTCTCCACTCTATGAGAGGTTACCTAATGAGGCCTCATCTGAAATAAGATGACCAGGTCAGGGCACTTCACTATGTTGTGTCTAGTTTGTAAGGGAGGCATTTCTATGAAGAGGAAGTTAAAGACTTGCAGTATTTTTTTTTTCTGAAAAATGTTGAACTCAGCCTGTCGTATTTTTGAAAGGGAAGAGTCACGGGGAGAATGGGGTGAATTATTTGAAAGCCTGTGGGGAGCAGAGAAAATGTAGGCTACGATACCATTAAACTAACATTGCATGAGTTAAAAAAGGTTTTCTGGGTAAAAACCTGAAATATGGAAGAGGAAATGGCAAAAATCATTTTTTAGCATTTCTTCACAGTATATCTTGAATAACCGCCAAGTGTCTGCCTAAGGCTGCGGTTCTTCATGTACATGAAGGGGGCCCTGTTTTCTTCATTGAACTAAGAAGCAGAGCATGGATTAATTGTTCTGTGTGTCTTAGGTAGAATGGTCTGTGTTCTTTGAATGGGAGGAGGAGGAAATTGGAGGCATATGGAGTCTGGTCTGTCCCATTGAACTTTAGGCCAGCCTATTAATATTTTCCCTTGCTGTTAGCAAGAAGTGTTAGGAGAGGCTTATTAAAATGTTCACTCTTTGGGGTTAACACTGGCAGTTCAGGTTCTAGTCAAACGCTTTTTGAAAATACTTTTAAATTTCAAGAAAGTTAGGTAAAAGAGAAGTTTGGTCACTTAGCTTATAAAACACAATACTAAAAATTATTTCTAATTCTATTTAGCTATAAAATATTTTAGCTATGTAGTTACATCTTCCATGGTGTCTCTTAGTATCTAGAATGGTCATTTCTCTTGGATTCTTTCTCTGGCATTGACTTGTGTAGGATCTGAAATAGAATCCTGTTTTGCAGGTGTGATGTAAATAGCCCTTATGTTCAGCCAGTCGGTTGGTGTCAGGAGAATGGAAGAACTCTGATAGCACCCCAGGGTAAGTGGGCTGGCTGCATTTTCTTTGAAGGCATCTCTGTGTAAGTGGCGATGGCTGTTATTTTTTTGTTTATGCAAACCAGATTTTAATACAAAGCGTATGATAAAAATACTGTGCAAGGTTGTTTTGATCACCCAGTAACCCACGTGTCTGAAATCTGCTCGTCTTTCCCATAATGAAAATGGACTTGGTTTATAAAGATGTATTAGGCAGCCATTTAAAAAAATGTTGCTAAAAATTTTTATCCAATGAAATGCGTACCATTGCTGCAGATCAGTATTTAAAGCTAGCTGTTTCCACCTACATAATCTATCTTATAACTTATGGTAATCCATTAATTGAATTATAAGTTTATTAACTATTCTTTGGAGTTAAATGAAGAAATGTGGAAATCTAAGGAGTGACAATTAAACATTAGTCTTGAGACTCGCCAGACCTCTTCACCAAACCAATTTGATGGTTCTGCTAAACACCACAGCAGGGACTCTTTCTAGTTATTTATATTTTTTTCTCATTACAGAAATATTAAGTATTTAGAAACTTTCTGTATCAAATTTATGTTTTCTAATTTCAAAATTAATTAGATATAGTGGTTGTTTAAGCTTAGCATTTTTAAAATAAGTATTCTAGGAGAAACTGATTTCTTTCAATAAAAAATGTACAGGAAGAAATGTAGAGTATGGGGGCACCTGTGAGGGGTCCACCTCCTGGTTTGGGCTCGGGTCGTGTTCTCAGGGTGTTGGGATCAAGCCCCGCGTTGGGTTCAGTACTCAGCGTGGAGTCTGCTTGAGATTCTCCCTCCCTCTCCCCTCCCACTGCCCCTTTCCATCTGCCTCTCCTGCTCCTGCTCTCTCTGAAAAATAAATAAATAAATCTTTTAAAAAAATGTAGAGTATGTAACATGCCATTCTAGAATGGAGCAGATGTTTAATGTTTTGATTTGAATGATTCTGGAAATTTGATGTTTTAATGTTTTTTTCCTTAATACAGAAAAATGATTAGGATTTGTCATCAAATTTATGAGTTCAGTGAAAAAAAATTCAAAAATTTAAAACAATCAATAAACCAAATCAAACCAAACTTTAAAAAAACACAACCTATTTAAACTATCCAATTAATCTAGAAAAGTTTTTATAAAATATATAACATCTTCTCAAATTTGATTTTGATACGCAGACAAATTTAGAGTTGTTTGTGCTATTTTTCTATAAAACTGGCTAAAGCTAACTTTAGAATAATGTTTTTCAAGATGAGGTGAAATGTTTGTCAAATCTCAGAATATGTGGTTCGAATTGGTGTGTCTGGAGGTCCAGCACACTCTGTTTCCCATTTTCGTCTAGTGGAATAACTTCTCTGCCACCTGCAGGTTATTCTTACTACACTTCATGGATACAGTCAGTGGTTAAGTTCATCACCTTGTCTCCTGGTGCTGTGTCAGTCTGGAAATAGTGTAGCACTTTTTTAAGAATTGTATGTCCAGAATCTTTCCATCATTAACATGAACTGAGGAGCGAGGGCGCAAAGCTCCCATACCCCAGATAAGGCCAAGGCTTTAATTAAGGCTCTGCTTGATGGGTGTAGGAGACTATTTAGTTCATAAAGTCAGTAAAGGAACAATGGAACTCAACCCAGATTTATGGTTTTCCCCATAGAATTGATTGCATATACAAACATCGTCACGATGCCGAGATTTGAGTAAGAGTTGTAGCCAAAGACCAATTTAGTGATAGAAAGTCTTCACTTCAGGGTCATATTTTCTTCCCTAAAATGTAGGTTTAAAATTCTGAGGAGATTTCGTCCTGGTATATGATGTCTGAATTAGAATCTTCCAGTTAACCTACCTCTAAATCTCGTCTACTTGATAGTATTTTTTACACATTACGGAGTGTTTTTATACACTAAAATACTGCCCTCCCCAAGCCCCAATTCATATAATACTCTGTTTCTCTGCAGTAAATTCTTTACCTACTTTTTTTTCTATTGAGATATAATTCACTTATTATAAATTTCACCCTTACAGTGTATATTTCAGTGGTTTTAGTATATTCACAAGGTGGTACAACCATCATCTCTATCTACTGCCAGAGATTTTCATCACGCCCAAAAGAATACGCTCCTGTACTCAGTCACTCCTCATTCTCTCCTCCCTCTCAGGCCTAGGCAACCATTACTCTATTTTATATCTCTGTGGATTTGACTATTCTAGACACTTGGCATACATGGAATCACACAGTATATGGCCTATTGTGTCTTGGCTTCTTTCACTTAGTATAATGTTTTCAGAGTTCATATTGTAGCGTGTCTCAGTACATCATTCCTTTTGTTTACAAATACTATTTTAGTGTGTGGATATGCCACATTTTGCTTATGCATTCATTAGTTGACGGACATTTGGTTTGTTTTCAGTTTTTGATTATTATGAATAAAGCTGCTATAAGCTTTCATGTACAAGTTTTTGAGTGATAAGTTTTCATTTCTTTTGGGTATAATTCTAGGCCTAGAATCACTAGGTCATAAGGTAATTCTGTGTTTGAGTAATTAACAAACTATTTTCCAAAGGAGCTGCACGGTATACCTTCCCATTGGCAATGAATGAGAATTCCAGTTTCTCCACATCCTCACCATGTTATTTATTGTCTTCTTGATTATAACCATCTTGGTGGGTGTGAAGTTAGATCTCATTGTGCTTTCAACTTTCATTTCTCTAATGACTAATGATGTTGAACATCATTTCCTGTGGTTATTGGCCATTTATGTATCTTCTTTCAAGAAATATCTGTTCACATTATTTGCCCATTTTTGATTTGGGTTATTTGTCCTTCTATCATTGAGTTATAAGAGTTCTTTGGATATTAGACACTATTGTTTTCACTTTCTTGATGGCTTTTTTTAAAGTATAAAAGTTTTAATTTTGATGAAGCCCGATTTATCTGTTTTTTCTTTTGTTGTACTTTTGGTGTCTAAGAAAGCACTGCCTAATCCATGGTCACTTGTCATAAAAGACTTTTCTTCCCCCATTGATTGGTCTTGGCAGAATTATTGAAAAACAGTTGATTATAGACAGATGAGTTTATTTCCAGATTCTCCATTCTATTCCATTCCTTTATATGTCTGCCCTATGCCAGCACCACACCATCTTGATTTACTGTAGCTTTGTAGTAAATATTGTGAAGTTGTGAGTTCTTTAACTCTATTTTATGTTCTTTTTCAAGATCGTTTTGGCTGTTTTGAGTCACTTGCAAATATGTCCCTATGAATTCTAGAATCAGCTTGCCGATTTCTGTCCAAAAAAGCCAATGGGGATTTTAATAGGGATTGATCTGTAGATCAGTTTTGGGGGTAGCCATCTCAAAAATATTAAAAATTTCAGTCCATGAACATGGGACATCTTTCCACTTATGTAGGTCTTTAACTTTCTTTCAATGGTATCTTACAGTTTTTAGTCTACAAGTCTTGCACTTTATTATATTTGTTCCGAAGTGTTCTCTTCTTTTTTAGTTGAAGTGAAATTTACATGACATACAATTAACCATTTTAAAGTGTATGATTTAGTGGTAGTGTATTTGGAATGTTAGGCAACCACCAGCTCTCTCTAATTTCAAAACCTTTCATCACCTAATAAAAACATCTGTACTTATTAAGTAGACACTCCCCACTCCTTGTCTCCCATCCCCTGGTAACCTCTACTCTGCTTTCTGTGGATTTTCATATTCTTGATATATTATACATGTTATATACAAAAAGAATCCTGTAATACATGACCTCTAGTGTCTGACTTCTTTCACTTAGTGTAATGTCAAGGTTCATACAAGTTGTAGCATGTATCAGTAATTCATTCCTTTTTATGATTGAATACTTTTCCAGTATATTCATATATTATGATTGGTTTGGCTATTCATCTGTTGATGGACATTTGTATGGACATTTGTACTTTTTCCTATTATAACTAATACTATTGTGAGCATTTGTGTGTAGTTTTCTGTGTGGACCTGTGTCTTGTCTTCTCTTTGGTGTATACCCAGGAGGAGAATTGCTGGGTCATATGATAATTCTGTGTTTGGCTTTTTGAGGAACTGACAGCTGTTTTCTGAAGTACCTGTGCCATTTTACATTCCCACTAGCAACATATGGCAATGATTATTTCTCAACATCCTTGCCAACTTGTTATTTTCTGTTTTCTTGATTAAAACCACCCTACTGTGTGTGAAGTGGTATCTTACTGTGGTTTTGATTTATATTTCCCTAATGACCAGTGGTGTAGCTCATGTGGCTGTTGGCTATTTGCATCTTTTAAGAAATAGTTATTCAAATCCTTTGCCTATTTAAAAAAATTGGGTTGTCTTTTTATTATTTATATATTGTTTAAATATTTTGTCCATTTACTATATTATTTTTATTATTGTGAGGACTTTTTTAAGATTTATTCATTTGAAAGAAAGAGCATGCATGTGTGGGGGGGCAGGCAGGGGGAGAAGGAGAGAGTCTCAAGCAGACTCCATGTTGAGCATGGAACTCGACATGGGGCTCGATCCCAAGACCCTGAGATCACAACCAGAGCCGAAACTGAGAGCCAGATTTCTATCCAACTGTGCCACCTAGACACCCCTATGACAGTGTTTTATTGTATTCTGGATGTGAAACCCATATTGTATAAATGATTTGCAAATGTTTTCTCCTATTCTATAGATTGTATTTTCACATTCTTGATAATGTTTTTTGCTGTAAAATAGTTTTTAATTTTGATGGTCCACCTTATCTATTTTTTCATTTGTTGCTTGTGCTTTGGTATTAAATCTAGGAATCCATTGCCAAATTTGAGGTCATGAGAATTTACACCTATGTTTTTTTCTATGGATTTTATAGTTTCAGCTTTTATATTTGAGTTGTTGATCCATATTGATTTAATTTTTGTATATGAAGTAAGGTAGTGGTTCAGCTTCATTCTTTTGCATTTGGTTATCCAGTTTAACCAGTACCATTTGTTAAAGAAACGATTTTCC